AAAAAAAAAAAAAAAAAAACAGTCAAATTTACAATTCTCTGTATTTCCCTTAGAGGCTATACTAGTTTCCCAATTCTGCCATAACAAAGTACTACAAATTGGATGTCTTAAAACAATAGGAATATATTTTCTCATAGTTGTGGAGGCTAAATCTGAAATCAAGGTGTCCATAGGGCCATGCCCTGTCTGAAGATTCTAGGGAATAATCCTTCCTTGCCTCTTTCTTGGTTCTGGCAGTTTCTGGCAATCCGTGGCATTCTTTGGCTCATGGCAGCATCACTCCAATCTCTGCCTCCATTGTCACACCATGGCATTCTTCCTGTGTCCATCTGTATCCAGATTTCCCCCTTCTTATACAGATATAAGTCAATGGATTAGGGCCCACTCTCATCCAATGTGGCCTCATCTTAAACTCATCTGCAAAGACCCTACTTACAAATAAGATCACATTATGCCAGATATAGGTGATGGGGAGGAAGGCAGCAAACCATGTATGTACCTATGCAACAATCTTGCATGTTCTTCACATGTACCCCAAAACCTAAAAGGCAATAAAATAGATATTTTTTAAAAAATCACATTCACATGTACCAGAGGTTAGGACTTCAACCTATCTTTTGAGGGGAAAGGGGGTAATTGACTCAAAACGGATGCTTGGCTGAAGATTTTCATATTTATGTTCATGAGAGATATTCATCTGTCATTTTCTCTTCTTGTAATGTCTTTGTCAAGTTTTGGTATCGGAATTCTTCCACCTTGGTGAAGTAAGCTGGAAGTGTTCCCTCTTTCTCTGTTTTCAAAAGTATTAAGTGTTTGACAGAATTGACCACTGACGTCATCTGGGCTAGAATCTGTCTTTGTGGAAGAGTTCTGAATTAACAACTCAGTTTCAACCAGCCTGGGTGACATAGTAAAACTGTCTCTACAATAGTAAAAATAAAAAATTAGCTGGGTGTGATGCATGCACCTATAGTTCCAGCTACTCGGGATGCTGAGGTGGGAGGGTCATTTAAGCCTTTCAGAGTTCTGGGAGCCAAAAATCTGAAATCAGTATCACTGAACTGAAATCAAGGTGTTGGCAGAACCACATTCCTTCTGGAGGCTCTAGGAAAGAATTTACTTCTTGCCTCTTCCACCTTGTGCTGGCTGCCAGCATTCCTTAGCTCCTGGCACATCACTCCAATCAATGCCTCTGTGGTTACACTGTCTTCTCCTCTTCTGTCTGTGTCAAATCACCCTCTGGCTCTTTCATGTAAGGACACTTGTGGATAATCCAAGATAATCCCCAAATCTCAAGACCTGTAATGTAATCACATCTGCAAAGATCCTTTTTCCATATAAAGTACGATTTACAATTTTCAGGGATTCAAAATTTATATTTTTGAGGGCCAGTATTCAGCCTGCTATAGTGCCTTTTTCAAAGTATTTATTTTCTTAAAATGTTAGGTAATTATTTTTGGCTAGGCTATTCATCTGCCTTTAAATATTTCACATGCTTATCTCTGTCTACTGCCGTGCTTATTTGAAATAAGGTGGAAGGTGCAAGTAATTAGTCTTCTGGGCAATAGGAGGGACTTTCTTCTGAAGATTAGAAAAATTTGGAGCTCTGTCTTGCTTCTTTGCTTCTGGTACTTCTACTTATTATTCTCACTTGACACTTCTGCCGGTTGTAATTTGGTCCAAGTAAGGTAAGATTGTAAGGGCTAAACCATCTTGTTATACCATCAGTGACACAAAGAGGGCTCCGCCCCTACCCCAAGGTTCCTGTCTTTTTTAGTATCTGCTGACTCTAGGCTTGGAACATCCAGAGGCTGCACCTGCCTTTTCAGAAGTCTTCTTCTGACTGAGTTTAGCTTGGCTTCTTCCTTCAATCTGATCCCAACTTCCTTTTGTCTTTTAGGACTCCTTACAATTGTCTTGCTTTCTAACAGTTTTAGTTTTTTTTTGAGAACATCATTTTTGGATTTTCCCCCTCCAAAAGACTGAAGGCCAACCTGGGAGGCTAGAAGGTGTGCGCCATTTGTACCCTTGGTTTAAATTCCAAACTATCTTTAAACCATATTTAATGCCTTTTCCTTACAGGATTGCCATCTTCTTTGTGTCATACAAAGTTCTTAAATTACCTCATCTTCTGAAGCCTGTTTTATTCTATACTACTATAGAGTATCTATTTTATAACAACACATTTTATTTTGGAGTCAGATGAATAGGTAAAAAGAAAATGTATATAGTAATGGACTGAAAAAAATTACTACATGATTGAGGAAAGACTCTTACTTGTAAGACATCTAAGACAGTACTCAAAAGAACAGCTCCTAAGATGAATAACATCCCACTTTTTCCCAAGGTTAATTAAATAGGTCAGAAAAAAAATAATTTTCAAGTAGTTGTGCCATACCAAAAAAAAAAAAAAGATGCACAGTATATTATAAAGCTGAAAGCTTTAAGACTAAACAAAAACTGCTGTGTACAATTCTATTTTTAGAATGAAGAAAATAGCATAAATTTAAGATTGGATCATTCTTAGGTTAACTACCAACACATGTGGCAGATGTTTGCTATAGATGCCAACTGAACATACAGGAAGCAATTCAAATTCAACATTTACAATTACACTTGGACCTTATTCCAGATTGTCTCAAGTATCCAGTTGTAAATTAAATGAATATTGTTTGTTTAGAGGCGTAAAAGTAGTAATTGATATGCCAAGCATATTAATGCAATTTTAGACAAACACTAAAAGTACCAGCAAAGTAGTTAGCACACTTAAGTTCTGTTCCTATAATGTGATTTACTGGGGCATCTCTGGGGTCCCAGTTTCATCATGTACCGTATGTATCTCTAAGGTAGTGCTCCCTAATCTTCATGTCAGGGCACATATAGAAAATGGTAACATATGAATATCTACCTGGTGTAAAAAGAAGAAGTACTCAAGGCTGGAACCTAGCAGATACTGTTTTGCTGTGTCCCTAACCAAATCTCATCTTGAATTACAGTTCCCATAATCCCCATGTGTTGTGGGAGGGACCCGGTGGGAGGTAACTGAATCATGGGGGCAGTTATACCCATGCTGCTGTTCTCATCATAGTGAGTTCTCACGAGATCTGACGGTTTTATAAGTGGCCTTTCCCTTTTTGCTCAGTACTTATCCTTCCTGGCATCACATATAGAAGGGCATGTTTCCTTCCCCCTCCACTGTAAGTTTCCAGAGGCCTCCCCAGCCATGTGAACTGTGAGTCAAACCTCTTTCCTTTATAAATTACCTAGTCTTGGGCAGTTCTTTATGGCAGCATGAGAATGAACTAATGCACTGGCTTAGGTACTCTTGCTGTCCAGAACGCTGTGGGACTAACGTCTCAGTGCACCTGTAGCCCATTTGTAGCAAACCATTCCATCTTGGCCTGTAGTCCGGGGAGCTGTGACCTTGCTACTCAAATTGTGAGCTGCTGATTGGTTTTACTTGGACTCTTGGGAGCTAGTTAAAAATTCCAAATCATGGGCTCCACCTTAGACCTACTAAATAAGAATCAGTATTTTAACAAGATCCCTAGGTAATTCACATGTACACTAAAGTTTAAGAGGTACTGCTCTAGAAAACTTTCAGCTCAAAAATTCAATGTATCTAATAATCTGTTTCATATGAGTGTATTCAAGGGTATTTTTATAATCTTATTAAAGTCCATATGATATAATAAAATTTAAAACTTTCATTTTACACAAATTTGTTCTTAATTTTTGAAAACAGATAAACGCTGACCTCTGAAACAGAAGAAGGGAAACATACTTACCTGCTTGTATACCTGTCGTAAATACATGATTTCCTCCACAGTTCCCAAGGAGATCAGCCTAAGCACTTTCACATCTCTACACTGTCCAATCCTATATGCTCTGTAAAAAGATTTAAAATACAAACAAAAATCAAGTGAAACAACTTTGGGTTCAAGAAGTAGCTTTGGGACATAAAAATGGAAAATTGTCAAAATTTTAATTAATTTAAAGAGAAACATTTTATGTTTAAACATTTAGTAATAATCAAAAAATTCAAATTTGTATAGAAAATTAAAGAGAAAAATATGCTAGAAAACATAGAAATATCAACTTCATTTCTGTTATAAACATCACCTTCCACCATCTAAAAACTTTTCCTACATTCAGGTTTTTCTTTTATGACAGCTTTAAGCTTATAGATTATTCCCCAAAGATTTCATTTATATAAAACTCCCCAAAATGCTAACTAATCCATAGTGCCAGAAAGCAGACTAGTGGTTACTTGGCGATAAAGGGATGGGGAAGAATGGGAGGGGTGGGTCACAAAGGGGCTGAAGGAAAATTCAGGGGTAATGAGTATGTTTATTATGTTAATTGTGGTGATGATTTCACAGGTACATAAGCCAAAACTTATCAATTGTACACTTGAAGTATGTACAGTTTATTGCCTGTCAATTATACTTTACTAAAACTGTTGAAAAGTAAAAAAAAAAATCACCTAGCAAAAAATAATCAACTGTGAAGTCTATGGAAATGCTGGTTTACAGTCCTATCCACAGAGATTTCAATTCAGCAAATCTGACTGAATCACTCAGTTGACTGGCATCCAAGGTGTTTCCATACAGACCATAGTGCTAATTAAATTTCTAACCTGATTCATCACAGTGGTTTAACTGTGGGTCCATTCCCCACAGCTTCTCTCATATGGGAGGCTTTATAGTATTCTCTGTATGAGCACCGAATGCCTGTTACAGTTGTTGAGGGGAACTGAGGCAAGGCCATACTGCCTACAAGCTTGAAAATGTTACAATTTGGGGGAAATTTATCTTCAAACTTGTAAGGTCACCCATATGTTGTATTTGATTTTCTCTGCCTCCTTTACCCATTCCTCCTCATAAAGGACTTTTATTAGAGGACATCTTGGATCCTGCAAATCTTACTCACACCTCCAGCAGGAAAAGGAGGCTCCTGTGACACAACACCGCCATGGGTAAGGTACTGCATTCTCACCTCCATTCTGCAACCTGGAGGCAGAGGAGGGGCTCAGCATCCCTTTCTCTCCTACAGTGTTTGGGTTCTAAAGAAAATCAGAAATGGATCTAAGAAAATGTCCTTTGGATGTATGCTCAAGCCAGTTGTTCAGAGAATGGCAGAGATTCCATTAGGATAGGATACATATCCTTTAATCTTTACAGACAAAAATTTTAGATGAGTGTTACTATGCACCTATGCTTCATCATTTCTTGGTCCATAAAGCAAGGATTTCTAAGTGATGAGTCTTTCACCATGTGCAGACAAGTGTTGAAGAACTGTTATACAATAGGTAGGTCATTAGCTTCATTTCTATTCTTAGTTACTGCTGTCAGAGTCAGTGGAAAGAGAGGGAGAGGAAGAGGAACGCTATTCATTCAGTTTTATTGTGAACTAACTTTCAGTGAATACCAAAGCACAGTACATTGTGATTTGAGGAATACTGGGATAAATAAGACAGTATGTCTCAATGACCTAATGAAAAAGTACAAAATATAGCAAATGTCCTAAGACCAAAAACAGGGAGAAGATATTTCTGTGGTTTTCATTTTAACCAATGTCCTTGACATCTGTCTGTGAGGAGAGGCTGATTAAAAGTGTAAGCTTTGCAGTAAGACGACATGGATTCAGATCCTGACCCTGCCACTTACTGGCTGTGACCTTGAGCAAGTTGTTTAAGTGCACTGTGCCTCAGCTCTCTCATGTGTAAAATGGGCACAATAGTGCCTATCACATAAGGATATCCTGACTATTAAATGAGATAATCCATGGAAAGCACCAAAAATCAGAGTTCCTGCCTTACCATAAACAATAAGTGTAGCCATTATTCCTTTGTCCTTATTCTTCCAAATGTATTTGAACAAGGTGGTACATAAAATATTAAGTATTGCAAATAAATAGTTATTGGTTAGATGGCCTTTCTACTTCTTAAGCGTTTCTATGTATTTGCCTTTTTCCCTCAGATTAGACTTTTCAAAAATGCCTACTCTTTTCAATGAATGAGTTAAAATTTATATTGTTTTTATCTTAATAAATTTACTTTGTGCTAGTTTTCTAAATTATACCATTTTTTTTTACTTTCAGTCTTTCTTAATAAATAAATTTAAAAATCGGAATTAGCATCAGAATTGAAATATTGATTCAGAGTAATTTTATTGTTATTTCTAAATAGCAAGTTTTTCTCTTGATTTCCTCTTATTGTGGCAAAATATACCTAAAATATTTAACCATTTTAACCACTTTAAAGTGTACAGGTAAGTCATATTAGGTATATCTACACTGTTACGCAACTATAACATCTATATAGTTACGGACTCTTTCCAAACTGAAACCCTCTACTCATTAAACAATAACTCCTCATTCCCCAGTCCCCAGCTACTAGCAACTTCCATTCTATTTTCTGTCTCTGAATTTGATGACTCTAGGTACAATATGAAAGTATCTTTGTCCTTTGCTGGCAAAAACAGGTATCCATTCTTTGTAGCTGATATTAGAGGAAAAACAGTTCAATCATGACACCGCTGAGCATAATGTTAGCTCTGGGTTTTTCATAAATGATCTTATGTTGAAGTAGTTTCTTTCTTTCTTGTTTTTTCTTTTGGAATGGAGTCACTCTGTTGCCCAGGCTGGAGTGCAGTGGCACGATCTCAGCTCACTACAAACCTCCACATCCCTGGCTTAAGTGATCATTGTGCCTCAGCCACCCAAGCAGCTGGGAGTACAGGCGCGCACCACCACGCCTGGCTAATTTTTGTATTTTTTTTGTAGAGATAGAGTTTTGCCATGTTGGCCAGGCCGGCCTTGAACTCCTGACCTCAAGTGATCCACCTGCCCCTGGCTCCCAAGGTGCTAGGATTATAAGCATAAGCCACTGTGTCCAGCATGTTTCCTTTTAATGTGTTGAGTTTTTGTCATAAAAAGATGTTGAATTTTGTCAAATGCTTTTCCTGCATCGGTGAAATGATTATGTGTCTTTATTCCTTCATTTGTTAATGTGGCGTATTGCATTGATTTTTGTAGGATGTTGAACTATTCTTGCATTCCAGGAATAAATCCTACTTGGTGTATCCTCCTTTCAATATGCTGCTGAATTTAGCTTGCTGGCATTTTACTGAGTATTTCTGCATTAACATTCAAAAGGATTATTGGTCTGTAGTTTTCTTTCTTGTAAAGTTTTTGATTTTGGTATTGGGGTCATGCTGGCTTTATAGAATTAATTGGAATGTGTTTCTTCCTCTTCAGTTTTTTGGAAGCATTTGAGAATGGCTGGTGTAAATTCTTTAAATGTTTGGTAGAATTCATCAGTAAAGCCACACAGTCCTGAGCTTTGTTGGCAGGTTTTTGATTACTGATTCAATCTCCTTACACAGTATTCATGTTTTCTGTCTTCATGATTCATTCGTTCTAGGTTGTATACTTCTAGGAATTTGTCCATTTCACCTAGACTATTCAATTTGTTGGTATACAAATGTTCATAGTGCCCTTATACTCCTTTTTATTCCTGTAAAATCAGTAGCAATGTCCCCTCTTTCATTTTTGATGTTAATTTTTTGAGGCTTCTTTCTTTTCTCTTAGTCAATCCAGCTAAAGATTTATCCACCATTTTCTTGATCTTTTCAAAGGACCAACTCTTGGTTTCATTGATTTCCTCTTGTTTTTCTATTATTTGTTTTACTTATCTCTGTTCTTACATTTGTTATTTCCTTCCTCTGGCTAGCTCTGGGGGTTTTTCCGTTTCCTAGTTTCTTAAGGTGGAAAGTAAATTGTTCATTTAGATCCTCCTTCTTTTTCAACGTAAGCATTTATAGCTATAAGTTTCCCTCTTAGCATGACTATGGCTGCATCCTGTAAGTTTCGGTGTGTGTTTTCATTTGTTTCAAGCTATTTTCTAACTTCCCTTGTGAATTCTTCTTCAACCCTTTAATTAAGCATGTGTTGTTTAATTTACACATATTTGTGAATTTTTCAATTTTTCACCTGCTGTTGATTTCTAGTTTCATTGCACTGTGATTAGAAAAAAATGAATGATTTCAATCTTTTAAAATTTATTAAAAATTTGTTTTGTGGCCTAAACATATGATCTATCCTGGAGAGTGTTCATTGTATACTTGAGAAAAATATATATTCTGCTGTTGTTGGAAGGAGAATTCTACATATCTCTGTTAGGTCCAATTTGTTTATAGTGTTGTTCACATCCTCTCTTTACTTATTCATCTTCTGTCTGAATGTTTTACACATTATGAAAGTCAGGTATTGAAGTCTCCCATTATTATTGTAGAGGTGCTTCTCCCTTCAATTCTGTCAATGTTTGTTTCATACACTTTGGAGCTCTGTTTGTTGAATTAATGAATTTATGTAAATCTCCTTGGAGAATCCACTTTTTACCACTGGATAATTTCTTTTTTTCTCTTCTAACAGTTGTTGACTTGAAGTCTATTTTGTCTGATATTAATACAATCACCCCTACTCTCTTTTGGTTACTATTTGCATGAAATATCTTTTTCCATGCTTTTATTTTCAACCTGTATATATTCTTGGATCTAAAGTGAGTCTCTTATGGATAGCATATAGTTGAACACTGTTTTTAAAATCTGTTCTGCCAATCTACACCTTTTAATTAGGGAATTTGATCCGTTTATATTTGAAATAATTAAGAATAGGGAAGAACTGACTTTTGCAACTTTATTTTTTTTCTATATGTCTTATAACTATTTTGCCCCTAAATTTCTCCATTACTGCCTTTCTTTGTGTTGAATTTATGTTTTTAGTGACATATTTTTATTCCTTTCTCATTTCCTTTTACATATACTTTAGATATTTTTGTTGTGGTTACCATAGGGATTACATATAATATTTTAAAGTTATAACAA